TGTTACTAATACGCCTAGGCCTTAATGTACACAGCTAGATAATGTGGGGATTCTTCAAAATCATATATTTCCTTGAAATTCAAAGATAGAGCAAGCTTATATTATTATTGTCTTAATAAACAAAATTATGTTACAAGATTCATCAGGATAATGAAGCAACAAATACTATGAAGAATGTTAGATATTAAATGATTATAGTATTGTAAATTATATGTATATCTTTCAAATATTATTCTATTGATGCTGCAAACATAAAACGAAATAATTTTGGGGAAAATTTTTCTGAACTTTTTTTCTTTTTTTTTGAGACAGAGTTTTGCTCTTGTTACCCAGGCTGGAGTGCAATGGCTCAATCTCGGCTCACTGAAACTTCTGCCTCCTGGGTTCAAGCAACTCTCCTGCTTCAGCCTCCCGAGTAGCTTGGACTACAGGCGTGCACCACCATGCCCAGCTAATTTTTGTATTTTTAGTAGAGACGGGGTTTCACAAGGTTGACCAGAATGGTCTCGATCTCTTGACCTTGTGATCCACCCACCTCGGCCTCCCAAAGTCTGAACTTTTAAAAGAATAGCTACTATTTTGTGACTATGAGAGCTCTTGAATAATGCTATAATATCATCACTATATAATACATATATATTTATATAATCTATCATACATTTTGTATATCATTATAGCATTGTATATATAGCATTATATGATAAATATTTATAAACAAGATTGATAAACATAAAAAGAAAACTGAAGTTCAAACCTGAAATATGATATTTGTCACTAAAATGAAAATTAGACTTTTAACTCCATTTCTGGTGTCTAATTTGTCTTATGTAAGCATAGCCACTCCAGTTTTTATGAATAAATGCTCCATTATTTTACTCTTAATCAATCAGTATTTTTATATCTAAAATGGGTCTCATAGAGACAGCATAGTGTTGAGTTTGACAATTTTGTCGGATCCGACAATCTCTACCTTTTTATTTAAGGGTTTAGCCCATATTAACTTAATGATTGTCATTTTGGTTGCATTTTAAAATTTCATCTTGCATTATTTTATTTTCTTGCTGTTATTTTCTTTTTCTTTTTCTCTTTGCCTTTTTTTTTAATTAAACATGTCCATTTTATACTTTTTCATTATTTGCATTTCAGCTCCATATTTGGTTTAAATGGGGGGCTAGTAATGACTTATCAAAGATGTTCACATTCTAACCTCTAGATCTGTTATATTACATGGCAAATGGAATTGAGATTGCAGATGGAATTAAAGTTAGGAATCACCTGACATTTAAATGAGAATATTATCCTGGATTATCTGGATATACCCTATCTAATCACATACATTCTTAAAAGTGGAGAGTTTTTCCTACCTGTAGTCAAAAGGAGATGAGATGGAAAAGGGAGTGGAAGAAATGGCTTTGAATATGAGGAAAGAGACCACAAGCCTAGAAATATGGTTGGTGGCTATGCAGAAATTGTCTTCTAGTTATAACCATCAAGAACATAGGGGTCCCTATATTATAACTTCAAAGAAATAAATCTTGCCAACGCCACTGAACAAAGAAACAGATTCTTTGCTATGGCCCCAAGGAAGGAACTTAGTCCTACAGAAACTTTGATTTTAGTGTGTTGAGATCTCTGTTGGACTATCAGCCTATAAAATTTAAAATAATTAATTGATGTTATTTAAGATATTAAATTTTGTGGTCATCTGTTACAGAAGCAAAACAAAACTATCATAGTTCATTAACTATATTACTTTTTGGTGTTTGCTCTAGCTTTATAGTATACATCACTAACTTACCACAATGTACTTCAAATAATGTAGCACTTCACATACTCTGTAAGAAAGTTAGCAGAGTACACTTCCACCCCATAGCCCAGCACACACATATTTTGTGCTATTAGTTTCATACATTTTAATTCTATAAATGTTGTAAACTCCACAGTACTTTGTTATGCTTTTTGCTTTAAACAACTCATTAGCTTTTAAAGTGATCAACATGAGGGGAAAACTTTTCTATGTTTACCCACATATATAGCATTTCTGGCCCTCTTCATTTCTGTTTGTAGGTCCAACTTTCAATGTGGCATTATTACCTTCTTTGTCAAGAAATTATTTCAATAACTCTTGAAATATTTCAGCTTTAAATTGTTTTTTAGAAGGTCTTTCTTTTAGCTTAGTTTTTGAAAGATAATTTTGATAGGTATGGCTTTTTTTTTAAGCTCTTTAGAAATGTTCCTTTGTCTTCTGGTCTTAGAAACCTCAGAGGAGAAGCTTGCTGTCATTCTCATCTTTGTTTCTCTGTACAAAATTTCTCCTCTTTTGGTATTTATTCTGCCTACTTTTAAGTTTTTCTTTTTCATTTTGATGCTGACTTTCATCAATTTGTTTATGGTATGCTTTAGTTTGGTTTTCTTTCTTTCTGCTACTTGATGTTAACTGTACTTTGTGTATCTGCATATTTGTAATGTTCATCAAATTCAGAAAGTTTTACGTCATTTTCTCATATAATTTTCTAAAACCCCACACTTCCAGTATCCTTCTGAGACCCCAATTGCTTATATGTTATGGCAAATGACATAGTCCCACGGTTCAGTAAGGCTCATAGTGGTTTTTTTCTTTTTAACATCTTGTTTCCAATGTGCTTTATTTTGTATAATGTCCTTCATATGTCTTCAGTTTCATGGATTTTTTTCTTCTGTAGTGTCCAGTGTGCTTTAATACCATCCAGTACATGTTTCATTTCGTTTATTGCATGTTTCATCTCTAGACATTCTAGTTAGAAGGTTGCATATGTTCTCCAGACAGAAAAGCCTAATTGGTGAATCCCCAGGTCTTGGTTTCTGCTCAGTATCTCTGGGAAGTTCCTTTGACCTACAAAACCCTGTAGGCACAGATCTTATTTACTTCTGCATCCTCCAAACTGGGTCTGAGCTTTCGGACTTGGTTGAATCCTAGAGAAGTTTTCGTCTTTCATCTGTGTGGCTGTACCCAACACTCTTTTTCTGCCAGCCATAAGGTCGATAACAGATACTCATTTTAGAATGAAATGGCCTTTTCTCTATGCAAAGCGTTATATACTTTGGATCAAGGACATATCAGAAATCTCATACCAAGTTTGCTTTACTCATGCACTCGCTAGGCATTTGGCAACTTCTGGTAATAATAGTTTAAACCAATATCTCACAGTATGCTGGGGTTTTTTGTTGGTTTGTTTGTTTTTTGTTTTGTTTTTGTTTTTGAGACGGAGTTTCGCTCTTGTTACCCAGGCTGGAGTGCAATGGCGTGATCTCGGCTCACCGCAACCTCTGCCTCCTGGGTTCAGGCAATTCTCCTGCCTCAGCCTCCAGAGTAGCTGGGATTATAGGCACGCGCCACGTGCCCAGCTAATTTTTTGTATTTTTAGTAAAGACGGGGTTTCACCATGTTGACCAGGATGGTCTCGATCTCTCGACCTTGTGATCCACCCGCCTCGGCCTCCCAAAGAGCTGGGATTACAGGGGTGAGCCACCGGGCCGGCCAAAGTATGCTGTTTTAAAAATAAGCTTCAAGGGAATAGGGACCTAATCTGCATTTTTAAACCTTACATTTCCAGAATCAAGGTCAGGGCCTGCACAGTAAATAGGAAATAAGGAATTTATGTTTACTGTTTGAGGGTGATAACTCTGTTTTGATTCTATAAACAATCTTACAAAGATAATTTAAACAAACAAAACACTGAAATTCCTTCTCTATGCTTTTATCAAAATGCCACAAATATATCTTTTAATTTGCATTCCCATTTTCTCAAATGGTGATTCACAGACATGAGCAGTAAATATCTGCTGAAAAATTAATAAAACAAATTCCAAAAAGTTTTTAAAATTTTAAATTTTTCAAGCCCCCAATCTTCTATTTAATTTTAATCCTATCTACATTTTTATTTCTATTAATTTTATAACAAAATGTAACAAGAAAAAACTATCAAAATTGATTCTGTATTACTAGAACATAAAATTAGCTACAAAATCTGAGAGAATTGCACTAATAAATGTTTAAACTACTCCTCAAACCCTGTTGTTGAAGATTGCATCTTTTTGATACTGTTTTCATAAGTCCCTGTGGGTCTAATACATCTTCCCTTCCATGCAAACAACTGAGTAATTAGTTTACTTTCACTTGTAATGAGTAGAGAAGATCAAATTAAATAACAACTAGATGAGCAACATACATATTAGGGCCTACCGAAACCTTAAAAGTGAGAATTGTTGAAAAAAGTCTTTTAAGATAGTTCAAAGCATTGACATTACATCTGATGCTATTTAGGACACTGAGGTTAGTGAGGTCTGCAGCTTACCAGGGATAACCCATATGGAATAGTGTGTATCTTGAATACAAACCCAGTTCTGTCATCTCTCTATATCTGCTCTATCCAGTGCACCATCTGGCCTCCCATAATAACACATTTGCAATTGTAAAATTTTATTGAAATAGTGCAGTCACCATAGTCCTACCAAGATATAGGGTATTATTAAAATTATTTTTTATTTTGTGTAAAGTTATTACTTATTTTGTGTATTTTTTAAAAAAATACATTTTTTGTTTTAAAATGGTATTTTCAGTTCGATGAATCAAAATAAATTCTATTTTTTGTTAATAGGATGTTTTAAAATTAATATTTATACATATCTAATGAGACATTTATCATGATATACTGTTTATTCAAAAGAAGCTTGAGCAGTAAAGTAATAAATATAATATATAATTATAATACTGCCATCTAATGAATGACTAATTAGTGTCAGATGCTTTCTCGTTAATTAATTCTCACAACTATCCTTAAATGTAGATATTACTGTGTCCACTTTAATTTGAAACAATTACTCAAGGTGAATTTAATGGTCTACTTCTCTGACTATTCATTAGATGTCCTACACTAGCTACCTGCTATGTTTGCCTTGTTTTGCTTTCTGCTGATGGTGTCTTTCATATTTACCTTATTGTTTTCTTTCTTTGCCTTTAGGATTTGATACCAGTATCTTGCCAATTTGCAAGGACTCACTTGGCTGGATGTTTAACAGACTTGATACAAACTATGACCTGCTATTGGACCAGTCAGAGCTCAGAAGCATTTACCTTGATAAGAATGAACAGTGTACCAAGGCATTCTTCAACTCTTGTGACACATACAAGGACAGTTTAATATCTAACAATGAATGGTGCTACTGCTTCCAGAGACAGCAAGGTAAAAGAACACCTACAGATGCATAGAGTTGACCTGCAAGTCAAATTTTACTTATTTTTAATAATAAAATAGTATACTATGCCCATTCATTTTGTATACATTTTTGTAATTCAAGTGTTTAATAAAAGCAAATAAGCTGCATGTTGAACAAATAACTCTGCTAGAGATGTGACACATGCTAAATAAGATGAAAAATAGTAATTAATATTTTATATTAATGCACTTCATTATAGTTTTCATTATGAACCACCAAGAAGCACAGAGAGGTACAAGAACATAGATATTAAAAATAATCATTAAAATTAATTTGCTATCTGCTTTTCCCACAATATAAAATAAATGGGTTTTTTATCACTCTACTGCAGAGTTTTAATGTTCTATTCTGTGGTCTTATTCAATGAGTTGAATAAACCAGAGCATTTACCATAGGACATTTTTATTCATGTGAGTTTAAAATGATTTAGTCTTTCAAACTTTTCAAAATAGCTTGACTTTTATAAAATTCACCAGCAGAAAAAGTGTCTTTAATATAAAGGAGGAGGTAAAGCAAGTGAAGATTTGGAATAATACCAATTCTTTATGCATCCTTGTATATTAGGATAATGTAAAATGTAATGGAATCATACAGAATCAATAAAATGATAATCTATAGTAAGTGTGTATGGGGAAAAAACAAGAATCTCACATTATGATAAAGTTTTGAGAAACTAAGGAAACAATGGTAAGTGTAATTTTGATGTTAATTTAGGAAAATACGCTGGGAATTAATGTGATAAAGCTTGCTATTGTGAATGCTTTTTAAAATTCTTCAGAGCTAAGGGAAATAACAAGACACTTTATCAATGATTCTCAGTCTTTGATATGGAAAACTAACACATTATATGGGGTATTTTATTATCTCAATGACTTTTTTATGCTTAGTTTAGTAATTAGGGATGAAATTAGTATGCATAAATTGATTATTGGTGAGTCAACAGGAGCTTTAGTTGAGTACAGTAATTTTTAAACCAGTCTAAACAAAGTTTAAGAAAATATTTACTGTATTAAAATATTTATTACACACACAAACACACATTGTTAACTTCATTCCATATGTGCTTTCTAGTTAGGCACTCCTAACTGTAACTATTAATACATACTAGTATTAATGATTAGAGTACATTTAAATAATTTAAATAATAAAAAGTAGTAGATCCAACTAAAGTGCCAGAATGTATGTCATGTAGTCTTTTCTTATGATGACAAATGTTACTTTTGTTGTTTTTGGTGTTATGCTAGCATTTTTTTGGTGTATATACACAAACATTTAAAATATTCTGGGTAACTCCGAATGCTTTGTCAACAGAAATAGGTAAGTACCTTTATCTTAGAGTGTTCTTGGGTTTTGTAGCAATAATTGTAGAATTGGTTAAAAGTCCCCATAGCAAAATTTTACTCATCTATGTTTCATTTAAAAAGCAGCATTCTCCCAAAGTTCCAATTTTTGTTTAGCCATATGAAGATTTACTCTCTGAGATCTTGTGATTCATAGCAGAAATAATTAAATAAATGCTACCTAAGAGGGTAAAAGAGCTTATACAGTCTCTCTAATTCCTAGAAGGGTTTGGCTAAACTGTTGGGCAATATTTCATTACTTTAATCACTAGAAGTTACAGAAGTTCTCAGGGTAACTGAGAGGATGTGCTAGTGACATGATACAACTTTGTTTTTATGTACTCTTTTAGTTCAATAAGCAATTTTATTTAAGAATAACCATTAATTTAAAAACATTTTTTAAATATTTCATATTATAAAGAATGTTTTCCTGAAATTCTTAAGTTTATTGTAGCTATATATATATATATATACACAGCTGTGTATATATAGTAGCCATATATATATATGGCTATATATGTATACATATATAAAGCTGCTCTATATATAGCTGCTATATACACACACATATATAATTCATGTACATATATGTTTTCTAAATTCATGACTATATACATAATTCATGACAATATATATTTTCTAAATCCATTAATTTTCTAAAATCATGACAATTAAGCAATACAAAATGAACATGGATGTAATTTGTAGTATTCTTTATTCTAAGTAATCCTGAAAGAGTAAGAAGAAATATTAAATTGGAATTTCAGTTACCTTACATGTTAAGAATATACTTTCATAACAGTATGTCTACTTTTACTTATTCTAATAAGTAAATCATTTATTAGTTTCTACTTCATTGAAAACCCTATTGTGTAAGATAAGGGAAAGATAAAGAAAACTAACATTTATTCAGCTCCACCTATATTTTATGTACATAAAATTATTTATTACTCAAATAGCCTTGTGAAAGTGTAAATATTCCCATTTTATGGCTAAAGACTGAAGTTTATCTATAACTAATAACTTCACATTATGAAATGAATACATGAGTAAACTGGTATTTCATATGAAACTCTTTGATTTCTGTCTCCAAATAGTTTAATTCTACTTTCAGAAATAGCAACATAATTATATAAAAAATGCCATAGAATCATCACTGCAACTTATTGGAAAGTCTTATTCAGTATGGAATAACATCTTATTCAGTATGGAATAACAACAACATCAACATACAATAACTAATTTATGCAGTATGTTTTTCTTAGGAATGCAATTAAAATTGATGACTTTTTGGAGGTTATGTATATATTTAATTAACAGGAAGAGATATCAGTATGTAGTGCACAAGGGATTAATTCATTATTTGAAAAGATATGGTTTTTCTATTAAATGAAATAAATGTGGAAGATTTGGAATTGTGAATGTTTGAAATTTCTATGGATGAAATGTACCTAATAAAATTTTAAAAGTATAACCATTCTGTGAGAGGCCACATGACCAATAAAGTATTGAGAAGAAGAGTGCATGAGTGCAGTGGCTTACTTAAAAACCGTTAGAGGGCTGGCTTATTGTAAAACCTCAGGGCACCATTGAAAGTGCAATTCAAGTAGATGGTCCCTAGTGGACTTATGCAGTGTGCGGCCTGTACAGCCATATGCTGCCAACTTAAAATTCATTCACAAAACTCCATATGTCCAGTTTCTTTTCAGTTTTCACTCTACATTATCCATATATACTTGACAGCTAAAAACAAATATTTCTTAGAAATTTCTTAGAAATGACTACTTTCAAGTATAGAATCATACTTTATGTTGTAGTAACTATTGTAAACACATGGTATTTTACCTTTATTTATCCCAATTATGCTTCATTTAGTTCAGAATTTCATGGGTAAAATAAAAATGTGTTGTTACTGTTTTATTGAAAATTACCAATTCCTTCTGCAGTGACTCCAATGTAGGGGTTTGGGTCTTTAAATTCAGAATGCAGACCAATAAACAATTTTATTTTAAAAATAAATAACATCTGGAAATTTAACTTTTTTTTCTTCTTGTCTCATATTAGTTCAGAATAATTAATAAAAAATGATTAAGTTAAATCTTACATTTTCATAATTTGTGATTCTCATACATTTCTTAAGCACATAAGAATTTAACATAAACTTAAAACACTTGGTAGTAAACACAGTAGGGGAAATAAATGTAATGACATGAATCTTTGTCTATACCCAGTTAACCTATTAGTTCAAACCCTATGTAGATGCAATAGTCTGATTCTGTCCAAACTTTAATGCAATTAGTTGGGTTACTATTATTTTATCTAGATCAGTTCTTTGCAAGTAAGTTTAAATAATAGATGAAATCTAATTTAAGTGCTCTAAGAAGGCCTAAAGGCCAGACTTACAGAGCTGGTTAATAAAAAATAAGAAAATAGTTTAAAATCAAATATTATATGTACTTGGACAGTTCAATCGGTCATGATTTTTCTTGAAACTATAAATGTTCCCTTACACAGAGCTTGTAGCATTGGTAGTCAGGCTTATCCTGTGAGGTTGCTAATCAAAAAAAAGATCAAACGTTCCTGGATTTTCAGGTACAGACAGAAATGTACCAGGATGTTCAGGTAAACATTAGCTATATTATTTCTACTTTATAACTAGCCAATTGTAACTAGAAGAACAGTTTTTAATATAATATTGCAACTCCAGCTGGACTCTTTTCTTGTAATTCTTAGATGTCATATTTAGAGGGCTGTAAAATTTTAAATGTCTATAAAAAACCTATGCAATTTGATTCCTAATTCTTTAATATAGGAGACTCATGAGATTGTTAGGAATAACCAAGGGATCAATTGGATACATTTCAAAATGAAATAGAACAATATGGTAATTATACAAGATTTTCAAACACACCTCTTTTTCGTTACAGTTTAGATTCTGTAAGATGAAACTTTTTAGATTCTGCAAGATGGAAGTCACATATTAAACTACAAAGTATGTGTTAAGCACCTATCGCATTCTTTATTCTACATCGTTGCATACAATTTAATAATTAAATATTTTGAATTCAGTTTATCATATGATTTTTAAATCATTTAAATTGATTGTGCTTTGCCTTTTGCCTAAAAAGTTGTACCACAGGACAATAAGGACTAGTTTATTATTTTGCAGTTTTAATATTTTATAATGCCACTTTTTTTTTGAGCAGAGTTTTGCTATTGTTACCCAGACTGGAGTGCAATGGCACGATCTCGGCTCACCGCAACCTCTGCCTTCTGGGTTCAAGCAATTCTCCTGCCTCAGCCTCCCAAGTAGCTGGGACTACAGATGTGAACCACCATGCCCAGCTAATTTTTGTATTTTTAGTAGAGACGGGGTTTCACCTTGTTGACCAGGATGGTCTCGATCTCTTGACCTCGTGATCCACCCACCTCGGCCTCCCAAAGTGCTGGGATTACAGGCGTTATAAAGCCACTTTTATATAGCAAGCATTAACAGCAAGTTTTTAGAATATGAATATAAAATCCATTAAACTGCATTCAAACAACACGACATATGTTTCGTATTATATATGTATATGATTATATACAGTTATCTCTCATTATCCAAGGGGGATTGATCTCAAGAACATTTGTGAACACCAAAATCAAATTACTTAAATCCCTTCTATAAAATGACAAAGTATTGACATATAAACTATGCATATCCTCTTATATACTTTAAACCATCTCTAGATTCTTATTTTTTGAAAATTTCCCATTAGAGGTGCATAACTCACAGATATGAAGATCCAACAGTAAATATAAGAGTAATAATATAAGGCAAACTATATTCTGACTGTTTAGAATTTTACATTTCTTTACAAATGTCCTCCTTCAAGTGGTTGAGTTTGAAAATAAGCAAAGACTATTTCCAAATTGGTTGAAATGTCTTCAGCTTATTTAATGGCTTATCAGAAATAATTTTATATTATGTCCCATTTCTAAGTTGCATATATGGATGAAACTAAAAAGAACAATATCTGTTAACATTATGCAATGTGAAAATTTATAATAGGGTCTCTAACATAACTGGAAAGAAACATTAACTCTTTCATAGATTACTGTTATGCAAAGCTATTTATATCATAGAAACTTTTAAATGATGGAAAAATATAAATTAATTGCTTCAACAGTAGTGAATTTATTGAATTTACATTGCTGTTAGAGTTGGTTGTCATTTTAAAAATAAATGGTAAGAAGTATTTTTCATTATATGAATATAAAATACTTTTAAAAAGTCCAAACCAGGCATTCCTAGGAAAACCAAGGTGATCTGTTGACAATTAGGAAAGCAGTATGAGTGATCTCTCTTTATAGCTAGCTATCAGATAGATGATTAATTGATTAATAGACACATACCATATGAAGGTATTTTCACAAGTAAACCAATTAATATGTAATATGTGTTTTCTAAGGCACACAAAGACTAATTAAAGTTTGATAACATAGGAATTAAACTTTCTTTGTTTAACTACAATCCTTGAAGTAACATTTTTAATGTCATTGCAGACCCACCTTGCCAGACAGAGCTCAGCAATATTCAGAAGCGGCAAGGGGTAAAGAAGCTCCTAGGTGAGTAATAGATCATTCTTCTGAAGCCTTTATTGCTTACATAAATAACCCCAGGGAAACAGCAACATAAAATCAATATTAATCCAACAAAGATAGGCTGCACTAAATTTCAGCAAGAAAATTTATGAACTTTTTGAAAGCCATTAAACTTACTTTTATTACCTTACCTATTGAAAGATATGATGTCTGTTTTATTACCCTAATATAATGTTCATTTTGAAAGTTATTAAGTAAAAAGAAGGATTTAAGCAATGCTAAAGTTATAACCTCAGCAGAAAATTCAGTTCTATGTTTAAGATTTAAGAATTGGTGACAAATATGTACATGTGTATGTGTTATTTAAACCAAGTACTTTTATAAATTGGGTGAAAAGATACTTTGAGTACCTCAGGGAAGTTTGAACAGACTTGTTAGTATTTTTCATTAGTATTTTTTACTGCCTTACATTTAATAAGTAAATATATAAGTATGTAAATAGATATTTCAAATGTTATTCAAAGCTTTAAAATATTTGAATGTTTGGCTATAAACAGATCATTAAATCATTTTATAAGAGTTTTATTTCTTATAATCATAGTTTTTAAACAAAGTACTTTTGGAATAGTTCTAAATTTATAAAAAGTTACAAAGTTCCGAACGTTCTTCACCCAGCTTACCCTAAATATAACATCTTGCATGTGCCAAATAACAGTGAAACATTTGAAAAATCTAAGAAATTAGCATTGCTATAATCCTATAAGTAAGCTTCAGACTTCATTTGGATGTCACCAGTTTTGCCACTGATCTTTTTCTATTTTAGAATCTAAAGCATGACACCACCCGTGCAGTATTTATTTTCATATATATTAACATGCTTGTGTATTTAGTGGCACATAACTCTAATGTTTCTGGATCTGATTAATCTGTGCTATATTTTGACTTGCTATCTTTGTAATTACAATATATTATGTTTCAATAAGAGGATTTTTAATATTACTTGCAAATCCTTGGTTCAGTGCCCATTATGCAAAATTAAAAGTTTAATGTTTTGTAATAAAACATTTTTAAGCGTGAAAATTACCCAGGATAGATGCTACCATATGTCATGTTTCTTTTACTTTTGTTACAAGATGCATATCACTGCTCACAGATGAAAATAATACATTCTGACTGGGCACAGTGGCTCACGGTAATCCCAACACTTTAGGAGGCCAAAGTGGGCAGATCACCTGAGGTCAGGAGTTCAAGACCAGCCTAGCCAACTCAGCAAAACCCCGCCTCTACTAAAAATACAAAATTCAGCCTGGCATGGTGGCATATGCCTATAATCCCAGCTACTAAGGAGCCTGAGGCAAGAGAATTGCTTGAATCTGGGAGATGGAGGTTGCAGTGAGTCGAGTGGTTGCACTCCAGCCTGGGCGACAAAGCAAGACTTCGTCTCAAAAAAATAAAAAAGAAAGATTTTAGCCATGTGCCAAGGAGAAAGCCATTGAAATCAAACTTAAAAATATTTTCTACTTAAGGTCCATTAGTAACAAAAATGTATTAGAATCCAGGTTTTGATTATTTGAAGCTATAAAAAAAATTATGCCCATTTGGAAATAGTTATCTTCATTCTTCTTTCATAATATAAATGAAAATTATTACAGAGAACAGGAAAGGCTTTAAGCATCTCTTCTAATTTGGGTGGGATATGAGTATGCATCTAAAATTGATCACTTGTTAGAGAGGAGTATGGTGCCACATGTCCTGATTTTGTAGTTTCAGTCTTTGAATGTAAAAGAGAACACTCTGAAGAATTATACTGAAACTGCAGACATCAACCAACTTTGCTGGCATAAATTATCAATTATGGTCACACTAATTATACATCCTAACATTTGTATGTCAAATATGTCAAATGATGGTGGTTGTAAAAGATGTAGATGTAACAATGTTGAATTTTTTCCTTATTTTTTTTCTGGCCTTTAATCCAGAGAAAGTGTTCTGAAGTTAGTGATATTCTGTATATTTCATTGAAAGATTAGCAGTTCAGATATTTCAAACAAATTATGGTTTTTAAACTAAGTTAATCGTCTATGTATGACTATTTTCAAACTTTTTGAGATAGTGAAATTATTATCCCATATGGTTACAACACTAAGTAATTTTGTCTTTTATCCCTTTACTTATATTTTTTTAATATTACCAAAGATCTATTTTGCTTCTGGGCACAGAAAAAAAATAGTCAAAAAATAAAAGAAAATATTTTTATCTGCTAGAACTTATATTCTCATGTTGGGAGTACTTACTAAAGAACATGACATCACTTTTAAATTACTAATTAAGCATTTATTATGAGCATTGTGCCATAGAGTATGTTATATTTTATGCATATAAAAATAGTGTCTGGCCAGGGGTATTGGCTCATGCCTGCAATCCCAGCATTTCTGGGGGCTGAGGTAGGCCGATCACTTGAAGTCAGGAGTTCAAGATCAGTCCTGAAAACATGGTGAAACCCCATCTCTACTAAAAAAACAAAACTTAGCCAGGTGTCATGGCACACACCTACAATCTCAGCCACTCAGGATGCTGAGGTAGGAGAATCACTTGAACCTGGGAGGTGGAAGTTGCAGTGAGCTGAGATCACACCACTGCACTCCAGCCTGGGCAATAGAAAGAGAATCAGTCTCAATAAATAATAAATAAATAAATATAAGTGTCTATCTGTTCTACCATTCCCAATAGACTGTGTTCCCACTAGACTGTGGGTTTGAGATGTTGTTTACACAACAATGAAAATGAAGAGAACCTAAATATTTCTGACCATAGATGATATCACAATGTAGTGTTGAAAGTATTCAGTGACAGTCAACACACAAAAACACACACATAGAATGCAAGAAGTAATCAGAAATCTTTCACTTGAAAAGAACTCTTTAAATCGCAGTCACATTTAAGTCAAATCCTAAAATGGAAGAGAGACAAGAGAGATTCTAGTTGAGATAAACAATGCGTAAAGAGATGAAACAGCGCTGAATTTGGAAAAACAGATAGCTTGATTTGGAAAGAGCATGGCATATAGGAATGAACCTTTGGGGAAATGAAAGTATAAAGTTGGCAATGACGAAGGCAGATGGTGACAGGTCTGCCAGGCTAAGTGGTCTAGGTGATTTAATATAAGCATGGCACCAATCAGATTTTAATTTTGTATTGTGCCTGTGAAACAGTACACTTCCCACTTACTAGTGGGAACTAGTAAGATAGCAATTTGCTTAACAAAGAAGATGAATCCATGAACCATAAGCAGTTTATTATGGCAATAATGACAGGAAAGACTTCCCTGATTTCTTCTAAGGCATCACTGGTATCTATCCCAAAATATAGTGGACACTCCATATGTGTATGTCTTTGATGCATTAATGCATATGGGGTACCTATCAAAAGGAGCACAGCTTATGCATAAACTGTATGTGTGTGTTTGTATGTCTACATGCTGTTTCCACAGGACAGTATATCCCCCTGTGTGATGAAGACGGTTATTACAAGCCAACGCAATGTCATGGCAGTGTCGGGCAGTGCTGGTGTGTTGACAGATATGGAAATGAAGTCATGGGATCCAGAATAAATGGTGTTGCAGATTGTGGTAAGGAGAGGATTACTTATTTCACAATTTTCCAAGCATAGAATTAAGCGCTTTAGAGCCTCATTCATTTATTCAAGAATTTAATGAGGACTTACTCTATGCAAAAACTATAGAATATATATAGGGTGGAGGGATTGACAAAAAGACTTGCTTCCAGTATGTTAAAAACTTGGATAGATAATTAGTGGCCATTGCATAATTTAGATTTTCTAGAGAGATTAATTAAATGTTGGGTTGCTTTCCTACTTCAAATTCAGAAAGCTGTTTCCATACTTCTTTTCCTCTCAGGTAAAGCAGCCCTTTTTCATTCTGCCTACTATATGTCAAAAAACCCTATTTATCATATTCAGATGACTCCATTTTGTCTGTATACCTCTGGAGATGGTGATTTAGGGAATATGTGGGTTCACTGGCCAAAGAAAAACAAACCTTTTTAAAGTAAATATCCATAAATTACAGCTATATGAGCATGTTTCCTTGTGCTTGAGTGAGGAAAATGTAGTTTGTTTAAAGGGAATTATAGTTAATAGTCTAATTCTTTTTTAGGAACATGCATTTATGTATGTACTTAAAATAGAATGTAACAATTAGTTGAACAGCATATACATGCATTTAAAAGTTTCCATTGTGGTACCATGTGTAGTTCATAAAACATTTTTCTAGAAGTGTCAATTATGTTTGTATTATGGACAGTTTTTATGACAAAAGCCACTTTATTATACACACACACACACATCAGGAATTAATTGTGTTTCAATTAATATAAATGAGCAAAAATAAGAATAAAGTAGTTATTCAGTTATGCATTTTAGAAATATGTAGATGTATTCTTCAAGCAATTTTTAGACTAGTAAACCAAGCCTATTAACAAAAAGATGATGAATAGGAAAAGTAATCTCATTTAATCTTTAAATTCCTACTCTGAATTCATTTGTTCATAACATTTTTAATAGCTTAGTTTTGGTTTGCTGACCTGGCCAATGTGATAAGATTTAGGTAGGAAGAAGGAGTATTTTCAGTAGCTGTCTTACGTAAATGTTACATGCAGGGAACATGTCTTTGTAATATACTGTAAAGTAGTTGCGTTATTAATTACTTCAGTTGTTTGACGATGATAATCCATAAATAACTTTTTTATGTTATAAATAAAAACTATACGGAGATGAGTTCCTTATGTGAACAAGAACATTGTCTTTGAAACATGGACATCCAAATTTTGTTAACATTTTGTAACTAATACAGTAGATGAAGTTGGAGAATAGAAACAATATTTTATTCAGTTAAGATGAAGATTTTAGTGTGTTGTCTTGAGAGATCAACCAATTTACAAACCTTGAATTACATCAAATAGGATTTTTTTTGTAATTAGCTACCAAATAATTATAAAAATAAAATATTAGCAAGAGTAGAAAATAAACACATTCTATCATTTGAGGAGTTGAAAAGTCAAAACACTGAGTGCTAAGAAGTATGTGCATTATTGCCTAGACGAACATTAATAGTTATTTTTAAAATATTTTGTAAAATAGTAGTTTTCTGTTGCTATAATAATTAATTCCCACTGAGTGGCTTAAACAACACAAATTTATTATCCTGCAGTTTTGTACATCAGAAGTTCAACCAGGTCTCACTAAGCTCAACATGAAGATGTCAGCAGGTGATGCTCCTGTCGAGGTTTTAGAGAAAACACTGTTTCATTGCCCTTTCCACTTAGAGGGGGCTCTCATCCCTGGACTTATGAACCCTTTCCTTTAACCTTAAGCTGACAACATTGCATCTCTGATTATTCTTCTGTAGTCATAGCTCCTTCCCAATATATCTGGAAAACATTCTTTGTTTTTAATAACCTAAGTGGCTATTTGGACCCACCTGGATAATTCAGGATAATCTCTCCAATTCAAGCTCCTTTACTTACCCACATTTGCAAAGCCCATCTTTCATGTAAGGTAACATATGTATAGGTTCTGGAGATTAGGAAATGGACATCTTTGGTGGGGCAATTATTCTGCCACACTTGTAGAAGAAATTTTAAATTATTTGTAAAATGGACAGTCTGACATAAATTTCTGTAAAAACTGGGCTGAAATCAATATCACTGGACTGGAAATCTTGCATAACACACCTCAATAATGACTCTGCTTTTAGCAAATACATTTTAAGAAATGATAGAATTTAACAAGGGATAATTTTCCAAATAATGGATCTTTACTTGTCTTTGATAAATAAGATAGAAAACAAATTACATTTTACAAAATATTCTTAATTTTCTTAAGGATTTTATCTCTCAGAAATTATCTCACTAATTAGTCAAATAAGGGGTATGTTTACTTTCACTTTTTTTTAAGCAATAGATTTTGAGATCTCTGGAGATTTTGCTAGCGGAGATTTTCATGAATGGACTGATGATGAGGATGTTGAAGATGATATTATGAATGATGAAGATGAAATTGAAGATGATGATGAAGATGAAGGGGATGATGATGATGGTGGTGATGACCATGATGGATACATTTGATTGATGAGAGCTGAAATCCATAAATTCTACATTTCTAATATTTACAGATTGACACCCTATTTAAAATTATCTTCTTGCCCAATAACAAAATGATTCTAAACCTCACATATATTTTGTATAATTATTTGAAAAATTACAGCTAAAGTTGTATAACTTTATGTTTAAATAATAACCATTTGCTTTGAGTTTTCATATTCCTTATATAAAAAGAAAATACATATGCAGTCTAGCCAGACAAAATAAAGTTTTGAAGTTATTACCATAAATTTTTCGTGAGACCAAACTGTGTAAATCTTCCATAAGCAAAATGACAACCAGTGCTTGGTATCATAGTGTTCATTTTTTGAAAGATAATTCTAAGAGAAATTAGAAACAAATAACTTACTAATGACCCGAGTCCTGAGGATTTAAGAAAAATATGCATGACCTTCATTACAATTCCAAAGCAGCATCTTGCTAGACCTAGATGAGTCAAGATAACAGAGAGATACCACATGGCAAGAAAAACAAAGTGACAATTGTAGAGTTCTCCATTGTGTTTAAATAGTGGTGTTTTTAACTGGTATTGTTCTGGATCTAACAGGACATTTTACAAAATGGCAAGTATGGAAAAACCATGGATTCTGAAAGTTAAAAAATTTAATTGATCTTTCCAATGTGTATTTTAATTTGGATGGCAGTCTCATGCAGATTTTTAAAAATATTCTTTAAAACATGAATTTCTTGCCTTTCTAGATTTCATTATCTTTCTGGTCAGCAACTTAGGGTGCAGAATTTAAATTAGGAAGACAAAGGGAAAGATTGATTTAAAGCATATTTTTACAAAGTTTGTTATTTGCCCCAAGGTCAAATTTTAAATTCTTAATTTTCATTTTATTTCCCAATTTAGATAAAAATTTGCATTTAATCTTAGAATTATGTATTTTTTGTTATTAATGCCTAAACTTAGAGAACGTATTGTATGGTGCCTTGCAAAAATAGAAATAGAAAGATTTTAGCATGCATACCAATATAGTATATTAGGCAATATATAAGCACACCTAATTAACAGATTAATATCAGTAAAGGTACTGCTGCTGGAATGAAGAAGAATGGGACATGTTTCTTTCTTTTTTTCTATTGTTACATAATTGCCATGTGAACTTGTTTATGATTATTGTGTAAAGTAGCATTTAACTGTAGCAAAAATTACTTTAACCACTGTATTTAAGTTAGCATGTTAATTAATTGTGCAGACATTTGGCACAGAATCACTCTTAAGTATATCAGACCAATGGTTTTGTGCCCATAATAAAAAATGGAAAGACCTATTGAATGTTGCATATTGGTATCATCAATTTCAACAGTGGATAAACTGGTTTCCCAGTATAAAATTCATTGAAAGCAAAATTGATGAATTATTTCCATTTAATTTATACGCAATACAAAATTTAATGTTGACTTTATGTAATATTTAAAGTATAATGCATTTTCTTTTTTTAACTGTTTATGTACAGTTTACAAAATAAAGAATCTTGTAACCAAATTAAACTGTTCTTCAATGGTTTTTCCGGAGTACAACATGGTAGCATGAAGGCTTCTTAAGCTATTCCTTGATTTTTAAAATGAATGCATTGCAAACTAGCTAGGGGAGCTTCCTGAATTTTAGAATTTCAAAATTAGGGTTCTTGGAATCTTGAATATTATTGTTCAATGTATGCTAAAATGTATTTTTCTTGGTGGTGGTTTGTTTTAATTTGTTTCATTTGTCATAATATTGTAAAATGGATCATATTTTTGTCAAGGCTGTATTTTAAAACCCATTTTCATGGAGTCATACTTAACATATTTGGCTAAATTTATATAGCAACAGGATTTTGAAGAGTTGTCAGATAGCCTTGTCTATTTAACAAATGTATATAAATATAACTGATTGGTTGGGAAGAGACAAAATCAAATTCTATACAGATGTTTAGCAAATGAATTTAAAATAACAAATATAGCAATGTTGAAGTTAAGCTATTTTTTAAAGACGTGTCTCTGAGACTCCGAAAAAGCAACTAACTCAACAGCAGATAGAAAATGAAAAATATTACACTATAAAACTTTATGTAAATTATTTGTATACAGTATATATTTTTATGTGTGCATTTTAAAATTCTATTTGTAGTGTATATTAGGTCTTTTCATTATCATGTAATTCATTTTAAATATTTTGGCACAATACAATTATATCTTTATGTTTATCCCCCAAAACTTAAATACTAGATAGCTACTGTAAAGCAGACAGTATTCTAGACCCTAGAGATTCATTAATTAACAAAATAACTATGAAGAGTAAAGACACAATACATTTAATTCCTAGCCCTTAATAAAACAGTTCTAATCTTCATTGGAATAAATCAAAGGTGGATATTTACTAGACTTAATTTGAATAAAGAATGAGGTATTTTGAACCCCCAATAAGAGTCCTTGATACAAACCCGAAATCTTAACATTTTAATTAAAAAGAAACCAAGTACCTCAACAGTTAGTTCTTTCTTAAATTGAAATCTGATTCATAGGTATAAAATCATACTATAGAGTCTATAATAATGTCTTATCTTTCTCATCTGTGTTATTTAGGAAATACACATGAAACTCAAAAATTACAAGACATTCTGAATCACAGCAAACTGAAAATTTAAACATTAGAGAAAATGAGAAGAAGAAACATTCAAATAAAATAGCACGGGTTCCTTATATGCCAAAATCTAGTAAAGAAACTAATGATGCTTTATTGCTGTACGTATTCAGGATGGTAATGCTCCCTAATACTATTGGGGGAAGAAAGCTAAGTTTATAATAAACATAAAACATTTCAATATTGATCAAAATGATATGTGGCCTAATTGAAACTCTGTATTTCTGTCAATAGAAAAAAATCCATCAAACCAAAATATCAAAATTATGAGGAAAATTTTGTAATTAATAAAACAGCTGCTAAAAGTACCTTATTCTGTGTATACATTTTACAGTATTTTTATTTTATATGAAACTAAAGATTTGAAAATTGTCCCATAAGCACTGATCCTTATAGGCTGGTAATAGCTTATTTAGAGCAGATTTACAGAATTGCATGAATAAATACACATTTTATAACAAACATTTTGATGATCTGTTTTATATAAAATTGATGAAGACTTAGCTGTATGCAACAGAATATGAAGGGCTCATACACAGTTGATCTTAGAGATTCCTAATAGCTGGCGGGAAAGTGGAGAAATATGAAGGGCTTCATACACAGTCTATTTTAGAGATTTCTGATAGCTTGGGGGAAAGTGGAGAATGAGCCAAACCAAACACAGTCATTATCAGTAATGTGCTGGCTCTACCTGATACAAGTGTGCACATATGCACACACAAACGTGTGCATGCATGATTCACCCAGAGTTTTCTTTGTATTTAAAAAATTCAGTACATTGCTTCACATTTATTTTTCTTATCTTTTGTTCATAATGAACAAAATGTGCTAGACCATATCATACATTGTTCAGATGAAATAAGAATATTTTAAAATCTAGAATATTTAAAGTGGCATGAAGATGTAAATAAATGATCATATTAGCTTCTTGAAGCTTATTCTATTTGACATTGTTTTAAACATAATAGCTGATATTAAGGTTAATATAATGGAGACATTTTTATTATTTCTAGTACACATTTTTATAGAAAATAATATCAACTGTTTAATTCTGTGTTTTAAAAATATTTCATGAATTATAACTTGGCTTCATGAAACTTTTATTAGTGATTAAGTCAATAAACAAGTCAAAGAGAACATCTTAAGCTTTCACTGTATACGATATATACATTATCTCTCTTGGGGCCAGACAAATTGAAATAGTCCTTTTGAATAGTAATTATTTTCTCTCCTCAACCGCATATGAATGTCTGCTTCATTGTTCTACTTAATATCTCTACCTAATTTCCCAATTTCTCAGTTAAAAGCTTAGTAAGTAAAATTAAGATAAATGAATATATGGTCCAACTTGATTTAAAAAGACATAGTAAACCATTGTAGGTGAAAAGATATTTTTAAATCGCAAAAATCAATAAACACCATCACATCCATATTCAACTCTTTCAAAGACATCCTTGGGGAATACATTTTTAATATACTTTAGTGATCATGCATCTCATTCATCCTTAAGAATGCAAATATATATATTCCTAGGTTTGGAGTCTACATGTCATCTTTCTCACCTTCAACGTAGCTTAGTGTATTTATCCTGGAGAATTTATATGACGGTTACATGCACACAAATTTAAAGCAGAAGCACTGTGTTTATCCTGTAGTAGGTGTGCACTAAATGCTAATTTTTTTCAAAACTTTAAAATAGGTTAACAACAGCAGTATTACTGAAGTTTTCAAGATATGCTGTCAGAATTATCTTCTCTTTTTACAGCTTTATTCACAGTAATTCAAACAAATGATCTAGTTGATAGTACCCTCATATACCAAGTAAACATAATAAATAGCGCTCACATCGTAGAGTCAGTGTGAAGATGAAATGAGTTAACACATGGTGTCTGGAACATAGTAAATACCAAATAAATGTAATTATTTTTGTTACTTAAAGAAGCTTATAAACCATAGCAAAAGTCATATGAAGAAATGAAAAATTGAACTCCAAACCCAAGCATCTTAACTAATTGGCTTCTCTAAGTAAATTACTCATTTTTGAATAGGTACATTTCAAGAGAAACATGTACTAGGGTTTGTGTCAGTTTAGTGTATGTACCATACATGAAATGTCATAAGCATTCAATTCATGCAATAAGCTAAGAGGTGGCATTAGTTTTTCTTATATTAAAGATGAAGTATCTTAGAAATCATGAATACTCACCATTCCCGTTTCTTCTCTCCTTTATGGACATATGTAATATCTTCATTTTTCCTTCACAGTCAGATTGAGGCCCTGCAACTAGTTGAGGCCAACTGACTGTGAGTTGAAGTAGCCTGTATGGAGCTTGACACTGTCACCCCCATCCGTGTACGGGCAGTTGGGATGGAACCATGACAATGCTCTATCTTTACCCAGGCCTCCTTGTTCCACAGGTTATTTAGCCATGTCATGCTACTTCCACATTTAAATTTGCAACCACTAGCCGAAACGTCTTCTTAAACAACATACAACACGTTTTGAAGCCATCTGAATTCCTTGTTAAGTGAAGAGAACATAAACAAATTAATTCAGCTGTTGAATGAAATGTATTTGTGTAGCAGTACAGGAAATGCAGTGCCTGGCAGTAAATCTCTGAGCTCCATCTGATACTGCCTTGTGATGTTGGGCCAGTAATGAACTTTTCTGTCACTGATTTTCTTCACTTATAAAGTAATAGTAGTGTTTGGATTTCTTAAGGCTATAGTAGCACCTTAGTGGAAATTCTAGTAAAATACCTAGCTCAAAAAAAATTAGTTATAATAAAAAAAGATAGTAAACATAGTGGTAAAAGCTGTGGGCAGTACAGTCTACCAGTCTTGAATCCTGGCTCTGGCTCTCATGGACCATGAGACTTTAGGCAAGTTACTTGACATCTTCATGGCTTCGTTTTTTCATCAGTAAAATAGGCATGATATTAACTATCACCTTAGAGCATTGTGACAGAGGATTACAAACTTTAATACTTATAAAAGCACTTTTTTTTAATACTTATATAAAAAAAAAAGTGCCTAGCCTCATAGTCAGCACTGAATAGTAGTTATTATTAAGAAGAGGAAAATGAAGAACAGCACAATCAATAAATCATCCACTATTTATAGATCCATCTTATTTTTAAAATGGGAATATAGAAATTGTTATTCCTGTTTTCTGTTAGAAAACATCCAGTCCAGGCTGGGCGCAGTGGCTCACGCCTGTAATCCCAGCACTTTGGGAGGCCGAGGCAGGTGGATCACGAGGTCAAGACATCGAGACCATCCTGGTCAACATGGTGAAACCCTGTCTCTACTAAAAATACAAAAAGTTAGCTGGGCATGGTGGTGCAAGCCTGTAATCCCAGCTACGCGGGAGGCTGAGGCAGGAGAATTGCCTGAACCCAGGAGGTGGAGGTTGCGGTGAGCCTAGATTGCACCATTTCACTACAGCCTGTGTCACAAGAGCGAAACTCCATCTCAAAAAAAAAGAAAGAAAGAAAACATCCAGTCCAGAGAAGTAAAGTGGTCTCTAAAGTTCACCAGGGACATCAATATAGAAACTAAACCACAAACTTAAGGAACATCAACTCAATACAGTCCAATATCAACTTTCTCTTGAGCTCTCATAAATATTCTCTCTTACAATGTAATTCCTGTTTAAGGGCGAACCTTTTCAAAACATTGATTAGCCACAATTTCTTATCAAAAAGAGTGGTTATTTATAGAAAATTCTTAATGTAGTTTCACTGTAATACTAATATTTAATGTGTCCTTTTAATTGGTATATTAAATAGTGCTAAGTTTCAATATTCTTTTTAGCCCCGTGGGGTAAGTTGTTGAAGTGCCAAAGTTGAAATAAAAACAATAATTAGAGATTATAAATCTGTTTTAGAGCTTACCAGAGGTTGCACCAAAGTGTAATTTAGAGCTGACTAGATTTAAAAGAAAAAGCAAAAAATTTTAAAAAGCAGTGTTATAATTTAAAAACAATTTATTATGTTTAGGGGGATAAAAAAATAGAGGTGGAACTATGAGACATATGGAAGAAACAATTTGACGTTCTCAAATAGCTTCTAAAGAGTGTAAATAAATATGTGACAAATCATGTCACATTTATATAAAATGTGAGAACTCTTATTTTCTCATATAAGTGAATATTAGTATGATAATAGACCATTATTGGTAAACTACTTCTCAGTCTGTTTTAGCCAGGTACAATATTTCTTGCTATGAAATGTAAATATTTAAACATTTTTCTCTTTTAGGATAATGTGTTTCAGGTGCTCATCATTTTCTTACCAAACAACTTTTTCAAAACGAATTTGCTCATCTGGAGAGAAACACATAAAATATAAAAGGAAAACGCCCTTTACTGTAAGACCTTTTTTTGGAAGAATTACCCCCAAAAAAAAGCCTCTAATTTAGACCTCGCTTTCTTCTCATAAAATTAAATGATAGCAAAATAGGTTGTGTATGTGTTATATTTGGCCAGAGAAAAAATGAATGATTTTGTACAATACTGGTTCAGTTGGTCATGTGAATCCCAGATTATTGGGACTCTTTATTTGGTTTATTAATTCAATGTGTATTTGGTATCAACCTCATAATTACAGGAGCAATGTGTGACTATGTCAATCTCAGTTTAGTTTATAAAATTTGACATAATTTGAATAAATTTTTGTTTTCATGTGAGTCATCTTGGTATTATTTTTTACTGATTGTTCCAAGAAGGATTATTTAAAATGAAACTGCATGCTGATAATTTATAGTGCGGAGAAATGGAAGTCAATTAATAAGTATAAGTAAGTTACGTTACCTTACATTTTATGTTAATTACCATATACACTTGGCATTTAACACACTTAAAGTCCTTCAGGGCCACAAATGCATCTTTAACTTGAATCACTCATACCCTAGGCAGGTGAGAGTAAACTGCTCTCTTGGTGCTATGGTTTAAATATGGTCTGTTTGGCTTTGTCAGGTCTCCTGTTGAAATCCGATCCCCAGTGGTGATGGTTAGGGATGCTTGCGGGGTGTTTGGGTCATGGGGGTGGATCTATCATGAATGGATTGGATTCTTGTAGGAGTGAGGGACTTCTCACTTAGTTCCCACAAGAAGTGGTTGTTGAAAAAAGTCTGGCGCCTCCTCCCTCTCTCTTGTTCCTTGCTTTGCCATGTGATTTCTGCCCTCACCTCTTTCCTTCCCTTTTCACCATGAGTAGAAGCAGCCTGACTTTCTCACGAGAAGATGCTGGCACCACGCTTCTTGTACAGCCTGCAGAATGTGAGTCAGATAAACGTCTTTCCTTTATAAATTACCCACCCTCAGATATTCCTTTATTGCTGCACAAACTGACTAAGACACTTGGCTAGAAAAGAAACCCAGCCAGCCATTCACCCAGCATCCCATTTCAACATAGCTTTACAGGAGCTAACTCTTCCTTTTTTTTTTTTTTTTTAAACTAGCGTCAAATTGTTATTTGTGTTTTGATCCCCTGCCGTTTTTTTGTTTTTTTTTTTTTTTTCTTTTTGAGATGGAGTTTCTCCCTGTCACTCAGAGATGTCACGCCATCTCGGCTCACTGCAACCTCTACCTGCTGGGTTCAAGAGATTCTCTTGCCTCAGTCTTCCGAGTAGCTGGTATTACACGTGCATGCCACCATGCCGGGCTCATTTTTATGTCTTTTTTTGTTTGTTTCTTGGTTTGTTTTTCTGAGACGTAGTCTTGCTTGTGGCCAGGCTGGAGTGCAGTGGCGCAATCTTGGCTCCCTGCAACCTCCGGCTCCTGGGTTCAAGCGATTCTTCTGCCTCAGTCTCCCGAGTAGCTAGGACCACAGGCGTGTGCCACCATGCCCGGCTAATTTTTTGTATTCTTGGTAGAGACAGGGTTTCAACGTGTTGGACAGGATGGTCTTGATCTCCTGATCTTGTGATCCTGCCACCTTGGCCTCTCAAAGTGCTGGGATTACAGGCCTTAGCTACTGTGCCCGACCTAATCGCCCCCCCACCAACCTTTTTTTTTTTTTTTCTAAAGAACATTGAGGTATAGTTTGAAGTCGGGCAGCATGATACCTCCAGCTTTGTTATTCTTTCTTAGGATTGTCTTGGCTATATGGGCTCTTGTTTGGTGCCATGTGAATTTTAAAGTTTTTCTGATTCTGTAAAAAATGTCAATGGTAGTTTAATGAGAATACCATTGGATCCATAAATTACTTTGGGCAGTAAGGGCATTTTCACATTATTGATTCTTCCTATCCATGAGCATGGAGTGTGTTACAATTTATGTGTTCTCTCTGATTTCCTTGATCAGTGGTTTGCAGTTCTCCTTGAAGAGGTCCTTCACATCCCTTGTTAGCTGTATTCCTAGGTATTTTATTCTTTTTGTAGCAATCGTGATTGGGAGTTCATTCATGATTTGGCTCTCTGCTTGTCTATTGTTGGTGTATAAGAATGCTTTCGATTTATACACACTGATTTTGTATCCTGAGACTTTGTTGAAGTTGTTTATCAGCTTAAGGAGATTTGAGGCCAATAAATTTATGAGAAAAAGTTCAACATCACTGACCACTAAAGAAATGCAAATCAAGACTTCAATGAGATTCCATCTCATGCCAATCAGAATGATGATTATTAAGAAGTTAAGAAACAACAGATGCTAGTGAAGCTGTGGAGAAACAGGAACACTTTGACACTGTTAGTAGGAGCGTAAATTAGTTCAACCATTGTGGAAGACAATGTGGCAATTCCTCAAAGACCTAGAGCCAGAAATACCATTTGACTCAGCAATCCCATTACTGTGCATATACCCAAAGAAATATAAATTATTCTATCATAAAGATACATGCACACATATGTTCATTGCAGCACTGTTTACAATAGCAAAGACATGGAGTCAATCCTAATGCCCATCAGTGGTAAACTGGATAAAGAAAATGTGGCACATAAGCACCATGGAATACTATGTGGCCATAAAAAGGAACAAGATCATGTCCTTTTCAGGACGGAGGTTAGACTGCAAAGCAATTATCCTCAGCAAACAAACACAGAAACAGAAAATCAAACATCGCATGCTCTCACTTTGAAGTGGGAGCTGAACAGTAAGAAAACATGGACACGGCGGGGGGCGGGTAACAATACACACTGTGGCCTGTCAGGGAAGGGCAGTGGGAGGGAGAGCATCAGGACAAATAGCTAATGCGTGTGGGGCTTGAAACCTAGGTGATGGGTTGACAGATGCAGCAAACCACCATGGCACATGTTTACTTGTGTAGCACACCTGCATGTCTTGCAAATCTATCCCAGAACTTAAAATAAAATAAAATACTTTTTTAAAAAAAGAGAAAGAAAATTGCAAACCATAGGGTATACAGAAAACTTTCACAAATATCTCTGAAGAATGTTCAGTATGTACCAAACTACTGCCAATAGTTTCTAGTTGCTTTTATAATGATCTCTGATAGGAAGTGACTTTATGACTAGTTTTAGCTGGATAATAACATATGCTCTAATGTGATCACGGGAACCATTGTGCCAGAATCTGGTCTAGAATCTTGCAAGAGCACAACAGTTCATATTGCAACTCAGTTGTATTCTTCCCAGGGTTGGCTGCAGCCTGAGCTGCTTTAATGCCAGGACAGACATTGCCATTTCTCAACCAAAACAATTGCACTCTGCTCATGGAGTACCTCAGGCAGATTAATTTTAGCCCTGAACTTTGATGGGGCTCCATTCAAAGAGCTGCTCATTTAAAACACAGTCTAGGATATGTTGTAAGGAAGATCTGTTAAACATTTATAAATATCACAGTCTATTTTAATCCTTCATGCTCAAGGAAAAAAATGACAAATAATAAAGCCAAAAAGGAAAATTAAATTTATGTAATAGATATTACATTCTCTTGCTCTAGGACCTAGTTAAAAATATAGCATCTCTATTAATCATTTTCAAAGGGCATTCCTAGGGCATTGTTCATGCATGCATTATTGTGGATGAGGCTACACCTGGATGGGCAATGCCCCATGCAATCTTTTGCATCTCCAATACTCACTTCTGAAAATGAAAATGACACATTAAAGATGAGAAAACAAATCAATCAATTTTACACTTGTCAGTGCCCAAATGAGAAGAGGATAATAATAATAGATGTAATTAATCTGGGAAAGTTCTATTGGATTTTCATGAACTTTGTAATTTCTATTCCCCAATAGCATATATATATACACACATACATATAAATATATATACATATATTTATATTTATACACATCCATATAAATATATATACACATACATACACATGTATTGTGTTGTCTACATATATTGTATACAATTATATATGTATATGAATATACATACATTGTATTATACATATATTATATGTATACATATAATGTATACATATAATACATATACATATGTATACATCTAATAATATACATATAATACATGTATACATATATATGTATACATATGTAATATATTTTTAAATGTATACATATATATGTATAAATATATATATGTATATATATATATCGTCCCAAATGGCCATTATAAATGAAACTCTTTGTGAAAAATACAAGCTATTAACCAGAAAGTCTTCATAGAGAGGGGGATTGGAAGAAATTCAATGAATAGTGATATCCCTTTAAAAGAAAAAGAAAGTAGCTGAGTTCCTAGAGCCAGAGATGAGCAACAAATGGTTAGTATAACTGTGGCCTGAGTCCAAAAAGCCAAGCTCTCTAGACTCAGCAGAAGCACCTTTGCAGTATTCAATGGCTACCAAATTAATAAAGTCAATGTTGTTTGGTCAAATAACTATGCTAGTAGGCCTTTCTTTTTTTGTTTTTCACCTTTAGTCAAAAATTGCCCTAGCCACCCTCTAATGGAAGAAAAATATACCTTTCTTCAGCATGTTTCCTGTCAAGTACAGTTTTATCCTGATAGTAATTATATAACACTTGAAATAATGCAGTTCAATGAAGTTGTGAAAACTTATTTTTTAATTGATCCCCTCCTTTAATCTTGCAAATTCCATGTAGCAACATGTTGGCTAGTTAACAGTTCATCAGATTTGCTGACCAGGAAAGACCTTGATTTGAAAGTTTCAGCCACTGCAACAATTCACTTGTTTTTGTTTTCATCAAAAAATAAAAAGAATGACTAAAGATTATCTTGTTTCATGGTAGTATACCTTGTAAATGTTTCCACATGGATATTTATAACTGGCTGCAGAATAATTGATTATGCTATGTTATACTCCCTAAAACTTCTGTTAAACATGATGATTCATTCTTTTCCTTCAAGTTCTAGCTATCTCAGAAATGGCTGAAGGCTGTTGCCTCTCATTTACATTTGTTACCACTCTTTTCTACTTCTCTCTTCTTGCAAAGCAATAGAAAAGATGAGTCAGTTTTCAAAGCACATGTGCACATGTGTGTGCGCACATACACACACACACAGTTTTCTACACCTGTACATGCAAAAGAGAAGCAAAATACCCAAACGTTTATTTTTATATAATCCAAGAACTTTGAAACATTTTAAAGTTTATTCTTCCTTCCACAGCACATGTAACGAGCAAATATGTAGAATATAATCACACTTGGAAAGTTGTTTATCAATTTCAATATGTTCAAAACTAATTATGCTAAAGATTCTATCAAAGTTGTGCTGGTATTGATGGGGCCTGTAAT